TGCCAATGTCAAGGACCAGGACAAAGAAGTTAAATTTCTTCTCTTTTCTCAGGTAGCTCTGAGCCACAAGGATGGAGCCCAGGGCTTGGTTTTAGCTCTGCAGAGTCCATGGAGAAAGGGGGAAGTGGGGAGCAGGAGGAGGGGAGCCTTGAGAGAGGGCAAATGTCTGTCTGGTGGTGTGCTGGGATTTTCTTAGATAGAACCTTCAGCCCCTCCCTTCTTCTATTCCCTGTGGGCTCTCTTGTCCTCACTTTGACCGATCACTGGTTAGGTCATCCATGCAATAATCCCAATAATCCGTAAGAACCTAATGTATGCCTGGCTCCGTGCTAGGAAAACTGACAGACCGTGACCTCGTGGAGTCCACAGCTTGTTTTGAGAGGGATGTGACTGCAATACAATACTCAGATTATCACAGTTCTTACTCTTATAGTTTGGATATTGAATGCCCCCCAAAGGCATGTGTTTAAAGCTTAGTCCCTGGCCCATGGTTCTGTTAGGCAGTAGTTGATCCTTTAGGATTCTAGGTGAAATAGAATAAAGTTAGGTTATTGGGGGAATGCCCTTGAGGGAGATATTGATACACTGACCCCTCCTCTTCCTCTCTCTTTTGCTTCCACCACACATTCCCACCATGGTGTGCTGCCTTGCCACAGGTCCAAAAGCAATGGGTCAGTCAACCATGATTAGAAACTCCCAAAACTATGAGTCACAATAAACCAATTTTTAAGTTGATTATCTCAGATATTTTGTCAAGATGACAGAAAGCTGGCTAACACACTTAGGAAAGACCAGGGCCAGATCTGGTTTGATCTGGACTCTGCTACTTAGCAAGGTGGGGTGGGTGTTGGCAAGTCACAAGCTTTCTGAACCTGCAGTTTCCTCATCTAAAAAACGTTCATAATAACACGCCTTCCAGAGTTCTTATGAACATTAACCAAGACAATGGTTAAGAAGCACTGTAGTTTAACAGCTGGTATGCAGAAAGCACAAAGAAATGAATTAACACTCCATCCTCTGACTTGTCAAGAAGAAAGACAAGATTACTGACAAAGAACTCTTTGGATGGAAAGGAGGCTTGAGGAGAGAGTTGAGGACTTAGAAACTGAAGGCCTGGATTTAATTCAAAATCTGCCACTAGTAGCTGAATTAATTTGGGCAAATCCTTTCCCCTCCCCAGCTCTTTCCTCTCTGTAAAACAACAGCAGAGCAATCACCTCTGAAGACAGACAGGGTGAGAAGTCAGACATAGAACCTATGCTCTGGTGGGCAGTGGGAAGGTGTTCACAGAGTTATCTTGTGTGGCTTGTTGGGATAGAGGACTAGGAATGAGGCTGTATTGATGGAGAAGTTTCTGAAATTAACTGGAAGCCAAGTTGCTGGGAACCAGGGACCTGAGTAAACACTTGTATAAAATCTGAGCTCACTGTTTCCACAACCTCACTGAAATGCTAAGGAACTTGTCAGCTCACATTTCATTACAGGGCATGTTGATTTAAACTGGCTTCATTAAATCCTGCTCTTGGTGTCACACAGCAAGACACTCATCTCAGGGAAGAGACAGTCCTTCTTCCTAGGAGATGGCAGACAGGCAGGCCCACAGTCAGTGCTGGTAGTTTGAGCATCACTTAGTGCTTGTTGGCCTGTGGTCCCTGATGAAGGCTCTGGACAGAATCTGTGCCCACCTCACATGCCAAGCAGCAAAGAACATAAATAAAACAAATACAGCTCCTGCTTGTCCATTGTCTAAGCTGTGCCAGACCTGAGGAGAACCACTTTACCTATTTTTTCTCATCTAATCCTTACAACAGTTCATAATTTTGCCTAGGAGGAAAGTGAGGATTGGTGAGACTAAGCCACGAGTAGAAGCCATTTAAGAAGTGGGCAGCAAATCTTCTGAAATAAAGGTCAGAATCTGTTCCTGTGCCCTGAACGTGAAGCCGGTCTCCTGGCTGCAGTGGATCTAGGGGCCTCTTGTTTGGCTTCCTTGTTAAATCTCATTGGTTTTAAAATAGCTTCCACTCTGTGAAAGTGCCCTTAGAAGGGAGGTGATGGAACGACATCAAGGGCTTATTCTACCATAGACACTATGCTATGTGTGTACAGAAATGTTGTCAATTGATGATCATATAACTGTGGAGATAGGTAACATTACCTCCATTTTTCAGGTAAGGAAACTTAAGTTTCCTGCCAGTATCACATAGCTAGCGTAGGGCAGAACCAGGGTTGAACCTAGGTAGATAAGGCCTATACTGTTGGGATGAGAGGAGAGAGAATGTTTGAAATATTTTTATTATCCTTCCAACTGGCTTCCAGAGGGGAAGTGACAGCTGAGGAGAGATGGTGGCCTGTGGGGAGGCAGCCTAAGGTTACAGGAAGCAAGTTGGACCTGGAGCCCTGGGCTGGGGTCTGAGTCTCACCTCCTCACTCACCAGTGTGCCTCAGGCAAGTCACATCCACCCCAGACCTCATCACCAGAATATGGTTGATACCATACCTGCCATCTCCACCTCTCATGGGTGTGTGTGCTTCTGTGTGAAATACCTTGGTATACTATCAGGCACTCAACAAACCCAATTTACTGTCACAAAGGGGAATAGTAACTTTGAGGTCATCCTTAAATTCGTGACCTTGTGGCAACCATGTCACTATTTAGTCAGCCACAAGCTAGAGATTTAAGGACATTTTTGCTTCTTAACCATCAAACATCTTTGCTAATACCAAGCGCTTCCCCTGATGGATGTTTTAATCAAAAACGTGAAGGATAACATTTGTTAAGCCCACGTCATGGACCAAGGTGTGTGCTAAGCTCTCGTTATCTTAAATAATTCTCACAAATCCCTAGAAGGTAGAGATTATTATTATCTCCATTTTTTTTTTTTTTTTAGCTTAAAAGAGTGAAGTGACTTGCCCAAAGTAACCCATCTGTCTGACTCAGGGCCTCTTCCTAGCTCTGGGTTCTCCCTTGTCCTCATATGGGAGTTCACATGCATATTTAATATCAGTTTTGGGGAATGTCTTACCCAGGACTATGGAAGAGGAGATCAACAAACCTATCCAAAGTCCTTTCAAATGGCTCTGCTGTCTCCTTTTCAAGTCTAACTAAAGAATACTCAGAAATCTCACCCAAAGTTATACCTGCCTCCACTGAGGCTGTGGAATTTCATCAGGCATTAACCGTGCACAGGCACTGTTATAGACCTATCATAAATTAGTTTTGCGCCCACATAATGAACAATACAAGGCAGCGTAGCTTTAAGAGGACCATTTATTATATTGCTATAAACAGAGCTATATAAAAAGAATTATTCCCGAGACTGCACATCTGTGCTCAAAATCATGTCTTTACATGAGCTTTGCAAACGAGTATAAAAGTTCAGTTGAGACTGTGTATTGAATGCTAGTTCTCCATTCAACAGGGAAAGGTAAATCAAAGTATTCCAAAGGCTGCATGGATCTTGTTTTTTTGCCAAAGATCTCAAGCATCTTTCCTGGTCACAACCAGAACTGTTAATCCATCACACAATGAGCTAATTTGAGCTTCACTTTGTTTTGACAGAGTGGAGTTCTGTAAAGACAGTGATGTAGGGTGAACAAGCAGTAGCTGAGGATGCTGTCACTTTTTAGCTATGTGTCCAGGGACACAATTACTTGAAAGAGCTTTGAGCCTGAGCTTTATCATCAGTTTATTTCTTTTCATTTGTTTGCTTGTGGTCTCTCTCCCCTCCTCCCCAGAAGGCAAACTCTAGAAAGGCAGGGCCTGTCTTGCCTCATTATCCTCTCTAGTCAGAGAGTATTCAGCACACCCAGATGTTGGATGAGCAGTCACTGGTTGAAGTGTTATGTAAATTGGTGAACTGGGGATGATGGTTCCTTTCCCACAGGGATTTAGAATGGGATAAGTGAGACATTGATGTGAACGTAAACTACTGTACCGATATTGAGGTAGGTGATTTACACATGTTCCCATTGAATTCTCCCTCTGGGAGGGTCTATAAATCTTAAAGTGTTTACAAACACAGTGAGGACACCTGAACTTGATATGAATAAATCCTATAGGGAACCAGTTACCACAATCAAGAAAATAGTCAATCGTGTGTTCGTTCGTTCATTCATTCATTCATTCATTCGCTCACTCATCAGTAGTTACTGATAAGTAGCTACAGGTGTGGTGGGTCAGGCCTATGCTGAGTCCAGGGGCTGTTGCCACGAGGAGACGTACTTGCTCCCATATGGAGCCCACCTTCTGGTCAGAGAGGCAGGTGGAGGAAGATCCCAGAGGACCCTAAAAACCACACTGAACTTAGCCTTCGTTCTGAGGAATGAGTGAAACGAAAGGTAGCACAGTGGGGCAGCTGTCCACTCTCATCTTCCACTCCTCACCCCTATGGCTCTCCTAGGAACTTTCTCTCTGGTCTTGCCACCAGGAACCATCAGCTTACTGTGTGAGAGATCCCAGTGTGTGAAACACATATGTAATTATACACACCACCATCAGTATTAACAAAGGGCACTTTGCTATGAATACGAAATGTCTCCCACAAAATGACACCATCGAAGGCTCTGGAAACTTTAGGAGATGGGACCTGGCTAGAGGAAGTAGGTTATCGGGGCATCATCTCCCTGGCCCCTTCCTGTCTCTCACTCTACTTCCTGGGTGCCCCTCCCACGTTCCCTCCACCACAATGTTTTGCCCGAGTACACGGTGCCAAGCAAACATGGGCTGAACCCACTAATAACACAAGCCAAAATAAATTCTCCATTAAATTGTTTCCTCAGACATTTTGGTCATAGTTACATAAAAGTAACTAACACAGCAGTGTTGTGGAGCTCAAGGCCAAAGTATCTGAGGATAGGCACTGGAGGTTAGCGTTCAGGGGAGGAAGAAAAGCGTTGGAGACTTGGGGAGTCCACAGCTAGGCAGCTGAGAGCAGGGCCACACCACCAATCAGGATGGAATGGGTAACCCCTCCCTCCACCACACATGCCCTTCTTCCCACATTTACCGATGGAACAGTCATGTCCGGTCCAGCTTGGGTCACAGGTGCAAAGCCCGGTGTCTGGGAGGAAGGTCCCATGGCCTGAGCACTGGTCCAGGCACGTGGCTCTGGGTGTTTCACAGTTGGTGCCTCCCCATCCCACGGAGCAGTGGCACTCGCCTCTCACGCAGACACCCCGACCGGAACACGTGGGGTCCATGCAGTCCACTGTGACATGGAGGGAAGAGAACAGGGATGAGTACCTGAGCAGCAGAGGTGAGGCTTCTGTAGGCCAGCACCCTGCTAGCGGCAGCCGGTTGCCCATGGGGAGGCACTGGGCGCAGTGACGAGCAGGGCTTTAGCAAACAGTCCCCAACTCCACCAGGCTCAGGTTCCCCACGAATTCCTAGCCCTGCCTGGTGAGGTGGACAGAGTATAAACGTAAATCGAGCATCCGCGCTCTCTTGTCCCTAACAACTGCACAGTAGAGGACAAGTCGCTGCTTTGTCATTTCTGTCCCCCACCTCCTAGAACAGCACCTGGCACATAAATCTTTTAGAACAAACACTTGTTTACTTCTTCATGATGTGGTTTTATGTGTGTGAGCAGGAGACCCAACGTAGATTCCTTAGTTTAAATGAGAATTTATTTTGCAATTAAGTTTCATTAAATTTCATCATCTTCACTAAATTCTTGCAATGGATATGAACTTCCAAACCTCCCTTTCCTGAGGGCGAACATGTGGATGCCTGGTCAGAATGACATGGGCTGACTGGGCATGGTGTCTCCGTCTGTGTTGGGAGTGGGGGCGCTGGAAAGCTTTGGCTCTCAGCCAAGCAGCCCCTCGGGCTACGGCCCAATGGCAAGGCGTGTCAGAGAGCAACTCTGAAAGAGGGAGAAGGGATAACAGTGTGGTTTATCTCTGTTGTGTTTCCACTAGGAGTGTATCACATACATACATTTGTAGATTCACTTTTCTCAATAACCCAGTGAGGTTCAGATGAGGAAACCGAGCCTCAGAGGGGCTAAACACTGATCCAGGGCACGCAGCTAAGCTCTGCCAGAGAGCAGTTTTTTCCCAATTTTTTATAGTAAAATACATAGAACATAAAATTGTACCATCTTATCCACTGTGAAGTGTGCAGTTCAGTGGGATTAGGTATATTAAATCGACATGCAACCATCACCACCATCCATCTCTGCAAGTCTTTTCATCTTGCAACACAGAAACTGGTCTGTACCCATTAAACAAGTCCTGATATCTCTTTTCCTTAGCCCTCAACAACCACCATGCTACTGTCTGTCTCTGAATTTGACCACTCCGGGTACCTCATACAAGTAGAATCATTTGGTATTTGTCCTTTTTTGACTGGCTTATTCCACTCAGTATAATATGCTCAAGGTTCACCACAGTTGTGGCATATGTCTGGATTTCTTTCCTTTTTAAAGGCTGAATAATATTCCCTTGTATATATCACATTTTGTTCATCCATTCATCTATTGATGTCCAAATGGATTGCTTCCACCTCGTGGCTATTGTGCATGATGCTGCCACAAATGTCTCTTTGAGACCCAGCTTTTAATGTGAGTTTATGCCCAGAAGTAGAACTGCTGGATCATATATTAATTCTAGTTTTAATTTCTTTTTGGTCAGTACTGGAGTTTGAACTCAGGCTTTGTGTTTGCCATGCAAGCATTCTATCTTTAAGCCGTACCTCCAGCATTTTTTTTTTTTTTTTTTTTGCTTTAGGGTATTTTTTAGACTCATAGGTCTCATACTTTTTGCTTGGGCCTAACTGGGACCCTCCAATCTATGCCTCTCACACATATCTGGGATTACAGATATGCCCCACCATGCCTGGCTGGCTTGTTGCTTGACAGCGAGTCTTTTTGTGTAGGCTAGCCTTGAACCACAATCCTCCTGATCTCTGCCTCCTAGGTAGCCAGGATTATAGACGCGTATCCACCTAGTTTTAGTTTTTGAAAATCCCTACACTGTTTTCTGTAGCAGCTCTGCTATTTTATAATTCTACTAAGAGTGTATGAGGGTTCTACTTTCTTCACATCTGGAAAATGTGACAGCAGAAGAGAGAAGACAGGATTGTCAGTGGCGGCCAGCCCACGTTCCCTATCCCACTGAGAAGTTGTTAGGTGTGTTTCACTCTGGAGATGGAGTGGGTTCTACTCATTTTGTAACTAAGAGAGGACGTAGTGTCCTGCTGGGGGCCTGGCACAGAGTGGTTAGCAACAGTGTGGAGGACGCTCAATGAGTTGTGGCCAGGTTCCTTTTGGGAGCTCACAGGAGGCTATGTGCTGTAGATTAAGGGCAAAGGGACTAAAAGTGCTGTTCTACGTCCATGGTCAAGTTACATATCTGCTGTGCACTTCTGAACTATAAATTAGATGAGATTTAAAAAAATCCCTACCTCTCATGTGTCAAGAGGACCAAGTGACACTGACAATTTGAAAGGACTGTGTAAGCTGTGAAGTTGCAAAGAGCTACTTTTCCATTCTCTCAGAACTTCAGTGGCAAGCTGTGATCAAAACTCTTAATTTAAACAACTTTTAAATTCATTTATAAATTTAATTTATAATCCAGTACATTTGACTTTTGCACAAAAGACTCAGAAACCTGCTCTGGACATGTAAGAGTCATAGGCACAAATGGGCAGAGACTTTACAAATGGTAATATTTTGGGGACATTTATTTTGAGGACCAGTTTATGAAGTTCTTTTACTATTCAGGTTTTAAAGGAGTACAACTTCATGATTTAAATGATCAATAAATGGAGGCTCAGGAGTAATGACTTGCTGAAAGTGTTATAGTGATCACAACAGTCGACATTAACTTCGCCATTCCTTTCCACTACGTTTTGCTGTTAAGCTGAACTATCTCAGTTAATCCCAGCAATGTACGTATGAGGTGGTTGTTGCTATCATCCTCATTTTACAGATGAAGAAACTGAAGCACCGAGAAGTTAAATAATTTGCCCAGGATTACACAGTACTCCATGAAAGAATTTACATTTGAATCACTCTTTCCTGACCTAGGCCTCTTGCTATTTTTTATAATCCTACTGGCTCAAAAATCTGTATGCATATATACTTACATAAATACAGGATGTGGCTTAAAAATATAAATCAAAACAAAACCTGGAAAAACACAGGGCAACATGGAGAATTAATAAACCCAAGTGAAAGCAAAGACTCCCTTCTCCTGCAGTCTCTGGACACCATTTAGTAATGGTTAAGGCATGCCCTGTTGGAGTTCCTGGTAATTAAAAATAATAAAAATAACAATCGTGATAAATTCTTATGACCTGCCTCAGATCTCAAACCTCAGAAGGATTATTCCCGCCCATTAGGCTACTATGATAATTCCCCAGATCCAGAGAGCCTTCCCATTTGACAGGAAACAACTCAGCAATTCCTACCCCACGGCTTACAAAGGTATTTCCTGTCCTGTGAGTGCCTGGACCCAAGCTTTGAGTGGAAAGGGTCTCTGAGAACCCAGGGCACTCTGGGGGTGGGAATTATTAATCTGTACTGTTAGTGAGCAGACCAGGAGGGCGCCAAGTTTAGCAAGAAGCCCTGGGTGTCACAGTCTTGTTCTTCCCCAGAAGCAGTGAGTCTGCTAGAAACCCAGGAACCACAAAGGGAATCCTCCTCTCTCAGCAGATGGTCCAAGCAAAGGCCAGAGATTGGAAGAGCTAATGAGCTAATGAGAGGTGGCCTCCAGACACCTAGTTTTCAATTCTGAGGTCATCTGGGCAAAGCCAGTGCACAATGGGAGAGAGATTTTAAACAGAACCCATGGCAAGAGGGATGACAGCTCCAGGAACTCTTGGTGGACTGGCTTAAGTTCTGGCTGGACCACGTTGACCTAAACCTAGGTCAATGCACCCTGATCCTGAACCTAGCGCCATTATTTAAGCCTCAGTGATGCTCTGCCAAGAAGTCATTTGTACACTGTATCTTCTGGGCTTCTGGGCTGGCAGTGTTCCTCACATTGTGCTGGGACAGCCTCACAGACCCTGGCTATTTCCCAGGAAACTGTGCGCAGCACCGAGGTGTGGAGGAGCTGAGCTAACTTGGTTCAGAAGAGGGTCTAACCTATCTTTCTTTTAGAGGCATGCCAAACAGTTACATTTTTCTCCTTTGCAGAAATTGTTCAACTCAAAATTCCTGACAGAAGCTTAGCCCATCAATGAAATGACGAGGACTGAACGACTCCACTGCAAACACAAGCCTTCCTCGAAAACGGTCCATGCTTCAGTAACCACACAGCTATCAGACGTGCATCAGGACCAAGAGCATTCTCTTCTGCCCTTCCTCCAGCCCCTCCAGCATCCTGCTGGCTGGGTTCAAGCTTTAAAAAATATGGGGCAATAAACTTCAGAAGGAAGAGAGAGAAAAGTAAGCTTGTCAGGTGATGTTTTATAAACATGGGGGAACCCATTAGCACAGAGCTGAGGGAGGAGGAAGAAGGAGAAGGCAGGCCCCAAGAAAACCCTATTATAAACAGAGGACTATACAAGGACACTTCAGCAGAGAAAGAATACAAGCAATCAGCTCCAGATGGGCCTCGTCAGAAAAGAGAGGAGTAAAAACATTTCTTTCAAATAGATAACATAAGTCAAAGTTCTAAACAACAGTTTTTCCCCCTTGTTAAAAAACTCTGTTGCTCTGGGTTGCTGACCACTCTGGCCTGTCTAGTGGCAGATAACTCCCTGTCCCCAGCCTGTACCACGTGGCTGGGGCTGGGGTGGGACAGCCCACCATCTGAGAGGAATCTCCCCTTGTTTTCTGCTCCTTCAAAGGGTCTCCATCTCAAGTGACCAGAATGAAAGGTCCCTGTTCTCTGAAGAAGAAAGCCAAGTTGTTTTGTTCCAGGACAGCCCACATAATCCCCTCTAAAGCCAACAGGACTGAGTCAGGACTCCTGGTCTGCTCAAGGTTACATGTAGCCATAGCAGAGAGGCCATGATTTTCAGACCCTAATTCTTCCTCACTCCCCACTCTTGGAAAATGGCCTGTCAACATTCTTTCTCTTTTAAGAGAAAATGATGCCTTAAGGGGAGGCTCTTTGAGAAATAACAAATGGATTGAGAAGACCAGCTGTCCTTGGAGCCTCCTCCACCTACTGGGGATGGGGCCAAGGCACTGGGTGGTAATGGTCCATCGGCTGCAAACAGCAAAGCCCATCCATTTCAAAAGATCCCTGACAAAGTGAGTGGGATGAGGCAGGAAATGTGTTTCAATTGTCCTCAGAATAATACTAATAACATAGAGCTACGTTTATGGGGCACTCACTAGGCATCAGACACTGAGCTATGTGCACGTAGGTCATTTAGTTCCATCCTCACAATGGCACACTGAGGAAGGCATTCCCCTTCTGTAGAGGAGGGAACTGAGGCCAGATTGTAACAGAGTCAGGACTCAGGCGTAGATCTGACTCTGGGATGAGCCCCTTGAACACTGTTCCACCTTGCTTGTGAATGAGGCTTCTCGTTTCACCTACGTGGGTTCACTGGGCTGACCGGGCCGAATCCCACACTGCCATTAGTCAGCTCTGTGACCCTGGGCAGGTCACTGCTCTTCTCCGGGCCTCAGTTTCTTCATTTATAAAATAGAAACGCTCATCTATCTCACCTGGTCACATTTTCCTCAGAAGAGAACTGATATGGCTGTTAAACCTGAAGATCACTTTCTAGCCTCCATCTACCTAACCATGAAGGAGATAGGCACGCGCACGAGCACCACCAAACACATGCACATGCATACACACCACACACACGTGTGGTAAAGGCAGGTAGAGTGTGGAAGTCGATAGTAGAGTCAGACTTCAGAAGTGAGCTAGAGAATGAGCAGATGAGCTCAGAGTGGGTGGAAAGAACCTCGCTCTGGAGCCAGCTGGATGACCTTGGCAAGTCATCCAACTCTGAGTCTCAGTTTCCTCAGCTGTGAAGTGGGATGACTACCCTTCCCCGTGAGGGTGAAATTAAGTGATATGTGACCTCTAGCACAGATTGTGCATACAATAAATGCTCACTAAGTGATAGTCCGTGCCCTCTTTGTGGACCAGCACCCTGATGTATGTGTCCTTCAGGTTAGTTACTGTTGTGATAGGCTCCTCGCATGGAGGGTGAGGGTCCTAAGTAGTCAGGTGGCTCCCCCTGCTCCCTCATTGCTCTTGTGGCACCATTGCTGGCCTCCATCTTGGAGGACAGGGCCGTGGCTGCAAGCCATCGTGTCTCACCTTCCTCACAGCTCTCGCCCTTGTAGCCGGGGTTGCAGATACAGGTGCCTGTGATGCAGGTGCCATGGCTGCTGCAGGCCACATCGATGCATTGGTTGGTGGGCACATCGCACTCAGCACCCTTCCAGCCGCTGTGGCACAGGCACCTACCCTTCATGTACTGGCCGTTCCCACTGCAGAGCACAGGGCAGGAGGCTAAGGAGACAGCACCAGAAGCCTGGCATGAATCATTGCCCAGCATCCTTTCTCCCCCTCAGCCTGCTTGGCTTGACTGACAGCTTCAACTACTTCGCCACAAACACCCATGGGTGCCCATGGTCTGCTTCTCTGGCTTGCTTTATTTCGTTCCGATTCACATGTATCTGGAATTGTGGGTGAAGGCATGCAGATGTCACTGTCCCATGCCCTTTCCTATTGCTGATGCAACACTGTGGCTGCCAGAGCTTCAGACCAGAAGTTGCATTCTTTCTTGTCCTCACTGGAAAAGTGGCTGGGCCTCCTGGCCCCCCTGCATCTCTTCTCCAGCACTCCTCCTAATAGCACTCCATTCTCATGCCCCTGCACCTCCTCTGCAGCTCTGCTCGCTGCTATCCTTAACCTGGCAAGTCTCTGCTTCCCCTGTCTTTCAGGCCTCCACTCCAGCCCATACATCACCGCCCCTCAAGAGAAGAGCTGAGCCCAACTTGGCTCTTCAGAGTATTATTTTTCCATTCTGCCTCTTAGCGTAAAGGGTTTTGTGATCATCTCTATGAAGGACACTATATAAAAATAAATTATATTGCATTGTGCTATAAGTACTTGCCTGTCTTCCTGAGATACAATAAGGCTGTTTTATACACGACTCTTAACTTTAAAGTGCATATGGGATGAGACCGTAATTCTTGTTAGAAGGAATGACTCAGCTCTCTCTGTACCACCTTCCCTGGCCCCCACCTGGCTGCTTTCCTTTTTAAAGCACTCAGCAGGTAATCACCCTGCCTCCCAAGGCTGCCTGCTGTGCTTCCTCAAATGGAGTCTATTTCACATTAGCTAAAATAAGCAGAGTCCCCAGAGCTGCATCACAGTGTTAGGTTTACAAGGCACCATGCCCTCAGCCTGGAAAACCATCTCTGCCTTCCACTCACAAACAACTCTGCAAGCCTCAGGACTCAGGTCCATTGTTACCTTGTCTGGAAAGCCCCTCCTACCTGATCCTTGACCCTCATGCTAAGACACCCTCATTTAACCTTGTTCCATGGGTCTCAGTTATTATGATATGGCTTTGCAGTAGTCTGTTTACTTGTCCATCCCCCAGAACAGTAAGAGAGCTCCCAGGTCTGGATCCTGCTCAGTGGTGGAACCCCAGTGCCCAACAGAGGGTCAGGTCCTAAAAGGGGCTGGGAGCAATGGCTGCTGAGTGAGTGAAGCCATGGAGAAACTGGAAGAAGAAGTCATTTTAGCTTTTAAGTAAGACAAATTCCCAAGGGTACAGATCTCCTTTGGCATCTTCCCTATTCATTCTTCCAGGACAGAAATGAAAGCCAAAAGCTCAAGGCAGGTGGGAGACAGCCTTTTAAACTACCCCAGAATGGGCTCTCATCAGCACAGTATGAGCTGAAACATCAGGCCACATTAGGGTGTGTGAGAGGGTCAGCCTGGCCTCCCAAGTCCCTTCCCTTGTGTGCTAGCTGAGAGTCTAGAAGACAGTTGGATTGGCTCTACAGGCTTCCCACCCACAGGCCTGAGAGAAATCACACTGGTGTGAAGAGAGACTCCAAGGATGCCAGGCAAGGGCTGACAACTGCTCTGAAGGGGAATTCAACTGCCACTCTGCCTCTGCTCCCATGAAAACTCTCCTTTCCCAACGTCCCCAGCTGTCTACAGCTGGATAACAATGGCTGACAGGTCTCAGCAATGTCTACAGACCTCCCTTGGCAGGTTTCTGAAGAATGGCCCCCAGGAGGTGGTCCAGCGTTCTGCACTTGCTGTGAGAAGTGGACCCTGAGCTACCCAAGGAGTCTGGGGAGTGGACATTGCGAGCCCCACACAAGTGCTCACCTCGGCCGCAGTCGGGGCCCAGAAAGCCCAGGAAGCAGTGGCAGGTCCCCGAGATGCAGTCGCCATTGCCATAACAGTTGCTGGGGCAGTTGTCCACCGATTCTGGAGGAGAGACAGGGAGGGCTGAAAACAGAGACTGCTGTTTCCCCCCGGAATCAAGCTGTGTGTGAACTAAGGCTCGTACAGTGAGCTATTTCGGCCCAGCCACTAAAAGGATCAATGGAGTTAGCAACGTGTTATATTTACACTTAGGTACATCTCAAATCATGTTAGGAGACGTGTTCTGGAAAATGCCTGCCTAGACCAAATGTGTCTCAGGGGTTGTTTTTGGTTTTTTTTTTGGTGGCACTGGAGTTTGAACTCAGGGTCTCACTCTTGCTAGACAGGCGCTCCATCACTTGATCCACTCCACCAGCCCTTCAAATGTGTCTCTAGGAATGCATGGAAAGATCTTTAGCTAACAACTGTTGGGAGGAAAGCGTTTGGCCTGTGGTTATCTTGGGGTGGTGGTTCTGGGGTGATGCTATATAGTCTTAATTATACTTTTTGGTGCTTTACATTTTTCTAATATGGAGCTGATATTCTGTTATTTTTGTTTTTGTAGAGCTGCTGGCTATTTGCATATCTTGTCTTTGCCCATCTCTGTTTTTCCAGGTCACCACTGGCCCCCACCGGGGCTGTTACAACAGCCTGTGGCAGGCCTTTCAGCTCTCCACCCTGACTCATTGCCTGGCAGCCTGGGTGATCTCTGTGACATGAACTTGATCCTGTTCCTTTCCTCTTAAAATCCTTCAATGGCCCCTCATTGGTTGTGGTGAAAAATACAAGTTCTTTCAGAAAGATGTTTTTCTTCCCTTTTTGCATCCCCAGAAACTGCTATCATGCCCATTTTTTTTTAACCCTTCCTAAGACTTTTGGTATATACTCTGTGTGACATGTCGAGGAACTGGAATCAACTTCAGAAAGATTTTAATAAAAAATTAGGCACTCTTTTGCTGCTCTGGTTAGTAAATGTATTATCTATAAAACATGCTTACTGGAACAGCTCAATTCTCTACAATGCTAGGCATGGAACAATGCAAACAAGCAGCTATACACAGGAGGCCTTCTTTGGGCCATGTATTTCCATAAATCTATTTCATTTTACTGACACCAAATCCAACAAGTATGTATGTATCATTATTCCTATTTTATTAAAAAAAAAAAGAGAGAGAGAGAGGCAGCTAGAGATACAGCGATTTGCTGAAGGCTGCAGTCACCGGGGCACAATTTGAACACAGGCTTTTGGACTCCAAGCCAATCTCCTTCCATGACACTATGCTGTCCAGGCAGGAATTCATTCCCCAGATGAAGCCAGGGGAATGAGCAAGGTTGTACTGTGGAAATCAAGGCCAACCCTGAAGTCAGCAAAGGAGCCAATGGAGGAGCAAAGCATTCTAGAAGTTTCAAAGCTTGCAGGGCTCCAAGAGTCCATCCAGTCAATGCTGTCATACAACAGAGAAGGCAACTGAGACCTCAAGGCAGGACAGTGACTACCCTAAGGTCACAGAGTGAACCAGCATTATCAGATTTAAAGTAGAGGTAAAGGTCAGGCAGCCAGGCAGAGTTAAGGATTCAACCTGTTATTGTCTCTCAGAACTGTCACCATGAAGCCAAGACTGAGGCCTCTGTTGAAGGAGGTGTTTCCATTTAAGACACAAGCCTTGCCTATAAGAAATGTGCAGTCTAACTAGGAGAACAAGATACCAAGTGACTTGGGCAGCAGCATGAGGCAGAGAAAAAGCTCTACCTACAGGTAAGGAAACCCGGTGTTGGGGTCCGTTCTTCTAGTACCAAGCTGTGTGACCTAAAGCAACTTTTCTGGGCCTTACTTTCCTCATCTGTAAAATGAAGGTGATGGCAGAGATACTTCCTTGGGCCTACCTTCTGTTCTAAAGTTCCACGAGTCAACCACTAATTAAGAGATCAGCTGAGGGCATCAAGGGGAGTCCAACGACAATGCTTTCAGAAAGGCTTTTCCCCAGGTCTTCAGGTATCAACTTGGAAACCACTTGAAAAGTTCAGAAAAATACTCCAAATACCTGACTCCTTTTATAAGCAGGAATCTCCAGTCACTTGCTGTGCTGTCTCCACTAACACAAGCAGCGTTTTACACTACCACGGAGTTGAGAACAGGAGGGTCTAGTCCAACATGTGGCTTCATTTCGGAGTAAATGGCCTGGGTCCTGGTACAGTGAGGGTCGCTGCACAGGCCCTAAGCATCTGTTCTCCATTGGCTTGGAATCCATGTTCCTCAGTTGTTTAAATCATGGAGTGGCTTTCTAGACACCATTTTTATAAAACCATTCCAGAAGTTTCATTTTGAATATTCTTTTTAAAAATAAGAGTAAGGTTTAGGGAGGATGGCATAGTGGGAGGGATGTTCCACATGCCCTGGCGTAGGAGCCCAGGGCAGAGGCAGATGACCTGCTGCCTCAACCACATCACTGGATCTCTCAGCCTGTTTCCTTATCATTGCACTGGCTCCTCCTATATATCCCCGATCGCCAACCTCTATTCCTTCTTTCAAATTCAGATCAAAAGCCACAACCTCTGAGAAGTCTTTCTGTTGGCTTAAACAGGCTAAGTTACTCCCAGAACTCTTTTTCAGCCTTACAAAAGTACCATATACTTGATCTTGTTGACTAGGAACCCCTAAGGATAGAAACTGAGCTTATTCATTTCTGTATTTACCCTGGTATCCAATATATATACAAAGGGTCATTGCTATCACTGAGAGAAGTCAACTAGATGGTATCACAGATTCCTCCTTTTCAGGTCCAGTACTATAAAATATGTGTCCTAATAAAATCACTCAATAATTATTTGCATTTTTAACAGAATCAACTGCAGATACATGTTATGTACTTTCTAGATTCTGATTTGTGATGTCTTGCAAGATACAAACCTGCTTATCATCTGCCCAAAAGTCTCCACAGGGACAAAGTGAGAACTAAATACAGTGTTGGTTGCTAAGTTTAACAGAATAGAAACCTGTATGCTATAGAATTTGCCCCCAGCTCTTAGTGTCAGGGAAGGCAGGAGTCTGGGAGACATGAACTAATGTTAAGAAAACATGAGAAGGTAAGGAGACATTTGGAGAGTATTATCTTTTGGTGAAATGTTGATGTATATGGTTTTCCTTCCACTTGGAGGGATTTTGGTAAGCTGGGGTCCACTTGGGAGCCCACAAATAATGAGTCTCCACTGATCAGATATCTTGATGCTAAACTCTAGGGAGAAGTGCCATCCGCTGGCTTGCAAGAAGTGTGAACTTTACTGTATAAACATGTTGTTATGTTACCAGTTAGCGTTCTGTGAGTTTCTCCTCCCTATGCTCCTCCTGCCTTGCTTGTGTGCACGCTGAAGCCACTTGCATTTACCAGAATGTGCATCTTTAGATCTGCTTGGATCAGAATTAAAAATTCAGCTACCCACGAATAACTGATTTTCATAACTGGGTGTATAGGGGGATTTTCCCCCCCTAGCTTTTGTTTTCCTATCATAGCAGTGGGCCTTGGTAGGAATTTTGATTTTCAGGAGTTTGGTGTTTCCTCCATCAGTTTTGGAATGCAGGCTTTAAAGGTATGCTCATTCTTTGGATATGTGCTATGAATGGACATGTTCTGTGGGTGTTGAACACAACATTGCTCCAAATACAGAGGGGGTCCACAGAAGGAAGAAGGGACTACAGTGCCCCTTCCCAGAGGGGACGCAGAAGTCAGAAAACCACACAGGTCTGTTTTGTCTGCTTACTGCCCTTGATCAGAACCAAATCCTTAGCATGGCTGTGTGGAGGTGAAAGATGCTTGCAGCTGACACAGAGGCCTCCTGAGTTCCAGGCAGATGCTTGGGAAATTCTGCCTTCGTTTGCTCCTTTGGTTTTCTGTTGTGAAATACCAAAGCCTCACTTTGTATGTAGGGTACCACTGAAGAAACTGTCTGGAGGAGGATAATAGGAGCAGCCAATGGCCTCCTGGGCTCCTGTTTCCCAGGGTGGCAATACTGGAAAGAAAGGGGGCTTCTTTACCTGTCAGCTCACGATACGGAGGCACACATGCCCTGGTCTGAGCAGGCACAACTCTGTGGTCATAGGAGATTGCTGTTGGACTTCAGAAGGAAGGAGTGAGTGTGCTCAAAGCCCCTCACCATCCTCAGTCCCTCCTTTCTGTTACCAGTACTCCTCCATGTCTTGTTCCCTTGTGATGTGTCTGAGCAAATAGATGCCTGGTTGTCTACACCCCCTCAGTTTCTGTTGTCTCTACTTAAGTTGTAAAGGTATATGCTAGAAACTTTTTGGGAATGTTTAGCTGAAGAACTAAGGTCCACCTTCTGACACATGTTCCTGGCTGTTTTGCAGGATGATGGAAGCTAATGCCACGGACAAGATGGAGCTTGGACTCTAGGACAGCCAAGTGGATAACTGAGTACCTCACCTTGCCTCCCACAAATGAAATTTATTCTTTAAGTTACATCTGATACATGACCTTTGTTCCTGACACACAGCCAAAAGGAGAGAAGGAGACAGAGTACACATCTAGGATCTAATTCTACATCAACTCAAGGCTGAGGGAAAAGTCCAAAATGTGAAGGCATAATCATATATTCAATTTAATCCTTGCAATCACTGAAAGAAATAGCTACCTTTGTACCATTTTATGGTCTCAGATGGACTGGGAGCTGAAATCACTTTTTCAAGGTCATATAGCTTGAAAGGACAAATCTGATAAGTGAACTATGTTCTTTTATTTATTTATTTATGTTTATTCATATGTGCATACAATGTTTGGGTCATTTCTCCCCCCTTCCCACCTCCCCCCACTCCCTCCCTTACCCACCCTAACCCCTCGATACCAGGCAGAAACTATTTTTCCCTTATCTCTAATTTTGTTGAAGAGAGAGTATAAGCAATAATAGGAAGGAACAAGGGTTTTTGCTGGTTGAGATAAGGATAGCTATACAGGGAGTTGACTCACATTAATTTCCTGTGCATGTGTGTTACCTTATAAATTAATTCTTCTTGAATTAACCTTTTCTCTAGTTCCTGGTCCCCTTCTTCTATT